CATACTGGTCTACAGTAATGTGTAGTGTTCTTACATAGTAAAAAAAAAAATAGCTTTTAATGACGTATGTTTTATATTTTTGTTAAATTTTAAGTGTACCTACTTTATCAAATGTATTTATTTAAAAAATAAAAAATGTAATGAATAAAATATCTGACCGTCTTTGAAATTTATATTACTTAAAATTTGAAATAAAATTTTTATTGAATTATCTGCATACCTATTTGTGTTAAATAATTTATTATATTTATAATTTAATGGTTTTATATCATCTGAATTGTATTTAAGAAAGTTCCCATACCAAAACTATTATCAAATTATAATTTAACTTGGCAGAAACTTATTGATTAAAATAAATTCAATTTTATGGATGTATTTTGAGCCCCTAATTGTTCGGCTTAGCTTAAATACTAGATTTAGTAGAATTTTACGTTCTAAATATCTTCATTTCCGCAGGCGAAACTAACAGTCCTTTACGAGCATGCCACCGGCTTCACACTGTTTAAAGTTAAAGAATTTGAAGAAATAGGTTCAGAATTATCAGAAGTTGAAAAATCTGTTCGTGACCTCCAGCGGTTCACCAAAATCATTGAGCTTTTGGCATTTGCTCCTTTCAAAACGTCAGTTGACGCATTGGAATCCATCAACAGCATCTCTGAAGGTACAAAACAATAAAATCTGACGTCCGTCTGCCGTGTCCTGGTTTCATCAAGTTGTTTATTATCACATTCATAGGTGTATTGCCGGAGAGTCTGCAAATATTTTTAGAATCCAATCTACCTAAAGTGGGTAAATTGTCAAAAGTCACTTTGGGAGTTGCTGATGGAAAATTGGGTGCGAGCATTAATGAAAAACTGGGGCTCAAGATACAACATACTGGATTTGTGCTCGAGATATTGAGAGGTCTGTTTGTTTAATTTTCATTTTGCTTTCATATAACAATTTAAAAAATCTTTAATTGTATCATGCTTTAAAGTTTTAATTTAATGATTTTCTTTAAAATTTAAATGGCAAATAATTCTTTAAGTTCTATACAATATAAATGTTCATTAAATCATAAAAAATATGTTTTATGTTTCAGGTAAGTAATATTAATTACTTAATTTATTGATTCTTTAAGTGTTTATGCATAATTATTTGTTTTTAATTAAAATGTCACTAAGTATTTGGTATATGTTATTGATATTATGTAGGTATTAGATACCACTTCCCATCTCTCATGAAAGGATTCGCTCCAAAATTAGAAGGTATTGCTCAACTGGGTTTAGGTCACAGCTATTCTAGAGCTAAAGTAAAGTTCAACGTCAATAAAGTAGATAATATGATCATACACAGTGTTTCATTGCTTGATCAGTTAGACAAAGACCTGAACACCTACTCAATGCGTATCAGGTAACTTACATATTGAAATAATCAGTAACATAGTATTAAAATTTAATATATTTTATGCAATAGAGAATGGTACTCCTACCATTTCCCAGAACTTTACAAGATTGTACCTGAGAACTATTTGTTCGCTAAAGTTGTGAAGTATGTTGGTGATCGCAAGCAACTTACTGAGGAAAAAATGGAGGGTCTTGAAGAGATCGTAATGGATGCAGGGAAAGCAGCAGCAATCTTGAGTGCTGCCAAATCATCTATGGGTAATGATTAAATTAGACACAATGTATATTCTATGGTTAAAATATTCCATTTAATAGGTATGGATATTTCTCCTGTTGATCTGACAAATGTATTGATGTTTACCAACCGTGTCATATCATTGTCCGAGTACAGAAAAAGTCTGTCAGAATATTTAAAAAACAAAATGGGGACTGTTGCACCTAACATGGCCGCTTTAATTGGTGAACAAGTAGGCGCTAGACTTATTTCCAAAGCTGGTTCACTGACAAATTTGGCTAAATGCCCTGCATCTACCGTTCAAATTTTGGGTGCAGAAAAAGCCCTCTTCAGGTAACTATTTTAATTCTTACTGCTCATAGTTATTTCATTTTATTAATTTATTCTTTTAGAGCAATGAAGACCAAAACAAGCACTCCGAAATATGGTCTCATATATCATTCAACATTCATTGGCCGTGCCGGCAGGCAGTTTAAAGGACGTGCATCTCGTTTTCTTTCAAATAAATTGAGCATTGCTAGCAGAATTGATGCCTTTTCTGGTATTATTTAAATTCTGATCTTCAAATTCTTAGTCTTTTTTATTTTATTAATATGTTTCATGTTGCAGATAATCCATGTAATATTTTTGGTCAGAAAATGAAACAGCAATGTGAGGATAGACTTAAATATTTTGAGACTGGTGAAAAACCACCCAAAAACGTTGATGTTATGCATGATGCGCTTCAAGAATCGCTTGTCTTGCAACAACAGGTATTTAGTGTGTTTTATACTTAAAAATTATATGAATCTTTCATGTTTGTTATTGTTTTCAGAACGAAAGTCTGAATACGAGTGTCAAAAGAAAGAAGGCCAAGAAGGAGAAAAAATCAAAAAAGTCTAAGGGTGCAGAAAAAGAAAATGGAGAATAAGTGTTTTGTATTTTTAACAACCTTTTTTTAAACTTTAATAAAAGTTAATTTGACTAATAATTTCATTTGAATTTTCCTTTACACCATACCATTTTGTACTCATTCAATGAAAAGTTTAGTTAACTGAAACTGTTAGGAGGGTGCCAGACGGAACCAAGAAGACGACATTAATTATTAAGAAACCAAATTTCCATCATGAATAGAGGCGAATTTTAACCTTGTGGCATTTTTATTCTTTCAATAACACCAATATTGAATGTATCAAAATTTAAGTTTGAAAAACGTAAAAATATCAGATTTTATAACTTTTTTCTCACCAATGATATCTTAACAATTTTAGCTCTATGGCACAGAAAACATTATCTTTAATATTTTATGTACACTTTTGGTGTTTACTGGAATTACAAACAAAGTGGTTCTATCCTGGATGAAAGCAGTCTGTTATGTTGTACCATTTGTAAGACAGAACCAACACAATAGGGTGTGGGGTTCTCTTAATGTTATTAAAAGTAATTTAACTGCATTTTTCAGAGTAATATCATTGTGTTATAAAATTGGTTATAACTATCAAGTATTGAGCCAATTCAGGTTATTATAGTAATGTCATGAGCTCTATTGTCATTGTTAAACCAAAAAAATACTTTAGTGCAAGATCAAATAATATTTCAAGCTATCGAAAATATTAACTAGATTTTTCTTCATATTGCAAAACTGGTGCTCATAACTACTCATTAGTTAACTTAAATGTATTATACAAAATACTGGTTTTGACATTATTTTTTTAGTCGTGTAATGGTTTGATTCGGAAAACACGGTTTTGATGGAGTATAACTGTAGAATGTGTTGAAAATCTATATATGAATGCGTTGTTCAACTAATGTTGATCTAAACAACAATGTACCAAGTTCATTTTTTGGTGAGATGATTAATGATTATGTCCTACGACAAATTAAATCATTATAACACTAATAACTTGGAAATGCACAATAAATACAGTTTTTTAACCAAGATTTATTAATTATAATTATTTGAGACCGATGTCGAATTCCTAATTCAAATTTTATTTTGATTTCAGTAACAGAATTAACAGTACATAAATTTATCTCTATAACGAAAATATTTTTACTATTAAAACGAATAAAATATCGTCCCGAGTTGATTGACATTTGACACAGTTAGCGAGGCTGTAGCAAAAAGACGTGATTTAAGGGGTAATAACTAGGCATTTAATTCAACATGTATTTGAAATATTGACATGAACTTTTCTGTGTTTGAATTATTATTTGTGAAAATAATTTATGAAGTTCAAACTTATAAACTAAATAGTAGGTTACTACGCAAAATAGTTTTTTTTTGAAAGCGTGGATAGATAACATACTGCTTGCCATTAGTCCTGGCGCTCGTTGGGGGTTATGTACTTATGTATGCTCCCTCCCACTATTTTAATTATTATTCGTTGTATCGTTTGGAAAAACCAAAAATTGATGTGCTGTGTTATCAGAGATATTTTATCCCCCCCCCGGCTTATATTTTTGAGTGCACTCTCGCTAATAGTGGTAGTAAACATTACAGTATTCATTTTTTCAGTACTGATGATAGTAGAGATTAAAATTAAGAGGATTCTATATCGTGATTTTCTGTCTAGCGACATATAACATTTTAGATGTGTTCTTAGCCAAACTTACCTACTAATTGATACAGTGAAGCGATACGAATTCTGAAAACAGATGTAATTTGTCGTCAAGTCTACTTAAAATCTACATTCCGACATTTTTGGATTTTAACTCCTTCAGAAAGTATATGTCTGCGGCAACTCTGTTTCTAAAATTTGGCCATTCTCAGTAGAGAATTAATTGATCTGTCAATTGCCAATTCATTAAACCAATGAAGGTATACTATTGGAAATATTAAATACACTTGTTCAAAAAAATTCATATTTATTGTAGGCTTATACAATTTTAATATTATGAAATAAACGATAGATTGAAGCCTAAGTCCCCCCCCCCCCCCAAAGTGACTTTTGACTCAGTGGCGTCATTTGGGGGTGGCAAGATGATGGGCATTTGCCCTGTCCGATTTCTAGTGTAGAAACATTGGCACCCACTTATTTTTTAAATATTTTGTGCAACTACTGAGAAATTATTTCCCCGCAATGATAAATTGGTTACCAATTGTTGGAATTATATTTATGTTAAGACGGATGCGGGGAAGTGCGTGAAAATTGGTATGTATATGTATGTGTGTCGTGTGTGTTTTATGAAGAAAAAGGAACATAATAATAAATTATAAGTGAATATCAGAATATGTGCATGAGAGTGAAGCGAACGGTTTTTCTTTAAGTTAGCCATTTGGGCTGGTCTATATGGTGTATCAATAGACTTGGTAAAGTTTATTATATCATGGGCTGGTCAAAACTTTTGCCCCCCCCCCCCCCATCAAAAACTGATATGACTCTATCTCTACGTCTCTACTGGTTGTAGTGCGAATCTTACGTGGGTACTACCATTGATTATAAATACTAGTATTCTAGTATTTATAATCAATGGTACTACCTACGTTGTAGTTTTACGTAAACCGCGGGAACCGACCGGTAAAATGTTTTGTCGAGACACGCGTCAGCACTGGGAATTATTGATTTTCCACGACGCACGGGGCATTAAATATTCTCCGTCCATAGGTATGGAATATTGTGATGTAGAGGTACGTACTGAAAACATTACGACAACTACAGTATCGCAAAAAATATAACGTTTTCCGCATAGCCTCTTTCGAAACCGGTCAGTAAATCGGTTCTAAACATCGCGGTTCTCTCGGCGACAGCTAGGTTCTAACCGCAGCTAACCGGTACCATAATTTCCGTTTTTCGCCATCGCTCACACACCTGCGGCAAAAAGCTGCTCCAACAACAAACTGTACTGGCGACACCGAAGGGTCGAACCGCAATTATTGCCATTGCACAACCACCGTTTCGTTCACAGTTTGGCTCCTTACAATATAACGATAACGAATAACATAATATACAAGCAACGCGTATTTATAGGTATGTATGGTTTAACAAGAATAATGCATGAACAATAATTGATTAATTTGATGAGCCACTAAATCGCGTTTAAGGAACCGTCTGCTCATTGTATTTTTAGTTATTGCACATGCAACCCGGCATAAGTGTTTATCTTATAAATTAAAACTATATTATTAAATAAATTGCAGTTTTTAATTGTTGATACCTATAGTGATTAATAAATATGGGGAATGGGGTATTCTGTATCAATTTTAGTGAGTACTTGTCATTTTCGCCGACAATTATTGATGCACTATACTATTATAGTGTATATGTACACGCTATGTACCTAATATGCTCCTGAGTCCAACACATAAAAAAAAACAACAAGTGACTTGAGCCACAACCGAGTGTTAGTACTAATTAGTAATTTTGGTAACCTGCTCCACTACAGAAAACAAAAGGCCATAATAATATATTAATAAGAGTCATCTACGCCACATTTTCAATTGCAATTGTTGAAATTTACCTGATAAATGTTCGGAGCTCACAACAGTTATATAATAACGTCATATAATGAATCTTAATATTCCCGAGTCTTACTTACCTATTTTATTAACAACTGATGTATTACTATAGATACCCACTCATTTACCCACGACATTTGCCTACAATTAGAACTATATTTTTATTTTTATTCGTGTAGCCATGTAGGTTGTAAGCACATTTTAATAATTTTCACGAGTGAACAAATGAATAATAGTTTTAAAAATAATGATTGGGTATTAATTATTGTAGAGTGGCTTAAATTATCCACAAAAATTAATTTTTAGATGTGCACATCTATGGTGCGAGTCACGTACCCATGCCCATAGTAATATAATATCGTTATTGGGCACGCAGGTGTATAAGAGTATCTTAGGTGGAGGGCGGAGTTTAGTTTATCGAACCTATATACCTACTGCACTCGGCATGGAGGCGGTGGACGTGGTGGCCGAATCTGCCGAGACCGCGGCTCGCCGACCGCCGACCATCGGGTTGGACTTCAACGAAGCGATGGCCGACTTTAAGACGATGTTTCCGACGTTGGATGACGAAGTGATCGAGGCGGTATTGCGGTGCAACAAGGGCAGCGTGGACCGGACGGTCGACCAACTGTTGACGATGAGCTGCGAGTGTCGGGCGGCCGACCTGCTCAACGGACCGACCGACGGCGATGGTTTGCCCGTGCAGCACGCGTTCTTCGACCCGATGTGAGGAGATCGTCGAGTCGTTTTGTCGGTGCTAATCACCGCCTAGGTCGTTTCGACGACGCAGGGCCTGATTTAAACACGTAGTGGCGTGGTGCACTATTCGGTATACTCATTACTCACTCCGGGGCCCTTTTTAAATATAAAAAATAAGATTGGTAAAATTAAAACGACGACAAAAAAAAAAAACATAAATGTATGTATATTTGAGCCTGAAGTATTTATCGCACCTAACTATTACTACCAAATACAATTTAAATCCGTAATTTTTCAAAGTCAATCACAATTTTTTTAACTGCACTTTTTCTGGTTTCTTTTTGTCAAATTCAACAATAGGTAGCTAATTGTAATGGTTTTGGAACGTCGTGATTTGATTGCCACAATAATAACAAAGAGCCCTGCTGCAGTCTTTCTCGTGTTAAAAAAGACCGAATGCGAATTTTGAATTCATTAAAGTATAGAAAACGAACGTAGGTTATATCCAAGGTACTTTATACTCGTAATTAGACATTTAGACATCAGTCGTGCAAATAATGTAATATGGCCATTGGCGGAAATCAGTGGGGGGCTAAGGTTCTTTTGAAAAAAAAATAGTAGCCCCCTCAATATTTTCAATAGATATCCGCTCATGAATATGCCATTGACAAGAAATTTTTTTTTTTTTTAATAAATCAGTAATGTACCCTTAAAATGTGTGGATCCTATGCTCGCGGTGCACCGCATACACATCCATAAATCAGGACCTGCAGGTTCGACGATCGATGGGCCCGCAGAGTTTCTCTTTCTCGTTCTATGTCTGTCTACGGTTTTCAGGTTGCCCGACGTGCTGCACAACCTCGGCAAGAAGGCCGCCCGACAAATCGGCGGCTCTTCGTCGAGCCGTTGGAACCCGCCGATGCTCGGGCCCCTGCCCGTCGACTTTCTCAGGCTCTCGACCGCCGGCAGTATCACATCACAAGTAAACGTATACATTTCTTCGTCATCAGCTCTTGTCCCTGGCCGTAAGTCGGTCGCACAGCCGTGGTGCGTTTAGGTTTTTTGTTTTTGAGGGAGGTGAGAATTTGTATATCTACCTACATCCATGCAGAGCTCAAGCCGCATAGGCCCGCATATTATTATAATTTCACATTGTTTTTAAATAAATATTTAATCACAATATAATACATACGTGTGGGTTAATTGGAAGAAAACCCGAAGGGAAGTCAATTAGAGGAAGACCTATATAGGAACTAAATAGGCAGACATATTGTGTGAAATAAATTAAATTATATACATAGGGGAATAATGACGTATATAGGGAGTTGAAGTATGCAAGTCGGTTTGGATGAAAAAGAATTGAAAAACATTACATCAAATTTACGAAAAAATGGGTACTTATCTATAATTTAATAATTTTAAAAATTGAAAGTAAAAATCATAAAATCTATATCTATTGATACATTTACTGCACTTGAATTCAAGATATTTTTTAATAAATGAAGTACCTTCATATAATATAAAAAAATCTACTTTTATTTATTCATTTTTTTTTTTTTTTTGTTTGATTATTGAAATTATATAATATATTTTATCAAACCAACACTAAATAAAAGTTTAACAATAAAATATGCAACTGTCGAGTGATGGGAAATTTGACAAGATAAATATTTGTGTTGAGTACATTTAAAGGAATGCCCCCTCGCTTCAGATCTGTCGTTGTGACGACTCGACAACCGCGGGCCCCTGTCCGACTGCCCACCTCATTGCATCCAAATTGCCTTGAAACTGAAAACTTCATAACATTATGTCCATTAAGAACGTTGCAAAAATTATTGTGTACAACCGGTCGTGAACCGTGAGGTTAAATAATTTTTCTAGAGCAATTATTATTAATATAACTAATATAAGATTATTGTTACTAATTAGACTATGAATCACTACTCAATGGTCATAACTAGGGCTAGGATTTGTATACAACAGCATGTTTTTTTTTTGCGACTTCTGATTATTGATTTTGTCAGTGATGTCCACGAATCACCTCATGATGAGATTAATGGTGATATTTTTATTTTGCATGTTTTTGCATATTTTGGAAAAATGCATATTAATGCATATATTGAATAAAATGAATATCATTGCATATTTCGATTACAAAAATGCGAAAAATGCATGTTTTATAGTATATTTCGTAATTAATATTTATAATTTATTATTAATATTTAGTATTTAATTCTAGTTCAGCTGATTAAAGTCTAAAACTTGGTTTTTTTGTTAAATTTTAATTTTATTTCTATAAATATAATCCTATGGTACAATAGGTATGCGATTAAAGATTGAATAGTCAATCATGTCAATAGTCAAAATGATCATTCATTTTCGAAAATCTAAAAAAATATTTGGTCATAGCATGTAACACGTAGTGAATGTGAATTATAAATTTTATTTCTAAATTATTTTATTTTATTTCTCAATTATATTATACTCGTATTAAGACAAACAGGCAACCACTGATGTAGTATTTCAATAAATATTTTTTTTGTAACTATATTTTTTGTGTTAATCTTATAAAAATTAAAATGCACATTTTTCCATATTTTGGTAAATAAAATGCATATTTTACAATATTTTATTGCATACAAATCCTAGCCCTGGTCATAACCAATGAATTAGGTGCCCATATGAATAGAGTACCTACTACCTACCTATATTTAGAGCCTCAGAGCCGTATTTAGGCACAAGCCCTTTGGTAACGATCCAGAAGCCGCAAAATTGTTTCATCTTTAATCTACAAAAAAAAAAACGTATTTCTGATTAATTGACGAAATCAAGTTTTACTTATATTTTAAGTAGTAAACTATAATCATTAAAACGTACTATTTTTTTATGAGATAATACAATGAATAATTTTAGCTTTTATGTGGGATGGGGGTGGAAAAGACGGAAAGTGCTTAATACTTATACAGGTGGATAAAAACTAAATTCAACACTGCCTTTTTTTGTGCTTATAGGTACCTATCTAAAATCTATATACCACACAGATTATAGGAAAATACTGGCTATAGTGTATTTAAGTATGGCTTTTGAATATCCCATTTCTATTTTCTGAGAATCAACACAGCAGTATCCGATAACGGGACAATCCAGTATTTATCATATTTTTTTAATACATTAATTAATATTGACATTATATCATTTGAACGCCATCTATACACCTACTGCCGGCTAACAAATAAAATAATCGAATTTTGATTTTCCTATTATATTACAATCGAATAATTTCTCGGAAAACGGAATGTATAAAATGTATTTGGTGAAGGGTTGATCACTTTCCTATACCCCCCCCCCCCCCCCCCCCCCCCCCCATCACCAGTATAAACACGACACTAATGGTTTATCTACAACTGCAGGTTTCGGAGAGCGAACTCAACGACGAGCAAATAGCAATCCTGTTGCAAAACGAAGAGTTCCTGGTGCAGCTGCGCAAAAACGAACAATTCCTCTCCACGTTGGATAAAGGCACGTTAAGTATAGTCTATGTACAGTATACGCTTTCAACTTGATTTAATTCATGTGTTCTCCGAACGAATTACGTGCAAGACGATCCGTGACGATTCAATGTGTTTGTATTACGGTTAACAATTAATTGTAGAGTTTAAGCGTCGATCAATGAAAGTTGCTGCAAACTTCTGAGAGATTATGCGGTCAACACTCTTTCCCTATATTATGTATAATGAATGATCAACCTCTGCGACAAAAAAAATGTTCCGGCCGAGCTACTGGAATTGTGTCGGGTCGGACTATTCACTATAAAAACATCATAAATTACTATACCACAACTATATAATTTATACCCTCAAACCATATCTATACATAGTGATTCACCTAGCGTAGGCACTCACTCGCTTGGTGAATCATCCTGTAAACATAATGTATTAGCATGATGTGTGAATCTATTAGTGGATTTGAGTCGGCCGAATAATGTGTTTGTGTTTCAACAGACAGTCCTATTGAAGACCAAAAGTTCTTCGTCCCAAATCAGACGCCGGGTGATGACGATGCTGCATTTAAAGAAAGACTAAAAAATATGGGAAAAGGTATGAAAACAATAAAGATAAATTAAGTGTATAAGAATAATTTTTTCAAAATATTCAAGTGATAATATAGTAGTATCATAGGCGGTCCCAGGATTTTACTTTAGGTGCAGCCGTGCAGCATAGATGGCTAATTTCTAAATGTTGGGGGTATCGGAAATGTGTACGAAATTAGATTTACTGAGTGTCAATGAACCATAATTTACTTTAGACTATTGTATATAATTTTTGAAACGAGCAAACTAGTAATTTCCTTTCCTCCGAACTTGGTTTTTCTTCATATGATAATTATAGATGTGATCGCGCGTGACTATAAATACCGCTGTAAGCCTAGGGTCTTCCTCCCTTTAATTCTGGCTTGATCATCAGATCTACGAGCTTACAACTATCCAGTGTTGGGTAAATTACTTTCGATAAGAAACTAATTAGTAATTACGTTACCTACCTACTTATTACATTAAATATTTTTATTTAAATTACATTCGCGTTACCCGACATTATTTTTATCACGTTATGTTACTTTTTCATTCAAAAAGTAATGCGTAATGAATTGTTACTTTTTCAAAATTTAACGACAAATTCAGTCCACAACGAATATAATAAGAATTAGGTATACTGTTGATTATTATATATAAATTGTATAGTAGTACGTGTAATACATTAATTATGTAGGTACACTATATTGATAATGGATGGATGTAATACGGATGAATAAAATGCGTAAAATGCCTGCATATTTTATAATATTCATCATTATCATCTAACATTTTCAGAATAGTAAATACATTTTACCGATTTCTAATTCTTCTCGAATATCTTAACCTTTAGTTTATGTCATGGACTCTACATTCATAACTTATTTTAATAACGTGGAAAATAACACGTTGCTCCATAGAAATTACTTTTATAAGAAATTTCGTTACAATTACGTTAATTTAAATAATATATAATCAAATTACTACAGCGTTACTGGCTACTATAATAGTAATTTGTATTCTTCGTTACGTTACTACCCAACACTGGAACTAACAACTAAGTTCATGATCAAAACAATATATCATGAAATAACAAAGATATATAAACTATAAAATATCTACCTTATGAGTTATGAAAAGTTATATGATTTCAAACAATAAAATAAAGTGGTGGTTGTAATGTCAGGTGCAGCACAGGCAGCAGAGGCTGCACCCGTAGGACCACCTATGAGTAGTATTATAGATTTTGAAATAAGCATAGGCTTTTATTATCAAACCCAATGATATCCATACAATTCTTTAGCTTCAAGAAAGAAATTTATCCAAATTGCACGAGTATTTACCGGGAAAAAAAAGAAGAGCACGGCACGCAATATAATGAATCAAGGAGACACTCACACAAAAGACAGTTTATTTCTACATGAGGAAGAACACTGAAACAAATATTTTACGTATTGTTTATGTTTAGAAAATAACTTTTTTTTTATACTATCATACTCAATCATTATGTTACTGTTATTATCATTTAAAATAATTTAATAGAAAGTGTTAAATAATATAGGTTAGCAATGAGTCAATAAAATGTAAAACTTTATTTAAAATAGCAGTTGTTCTAAGTAATTTTCAAAATCATCCTCTCTTGGTTTTTCTTCATCTACTTGTAGCTGTTCACTCCAAACATTATCTTCAATTGCTAGTTTAGAAGTTACTGGTGCTTCACTCTGAACGTTAGTAGTTGGTCGACTAATGGATTTTTCTCGCTCTCTGTTAGAGTGTTTCGATTTATTTTTTTTCGATTTGGAAATTTGGCGCTTCACTTCTTTCTTTTTGTGTTTATAATTTAATTTATTGGAGCAATCCATACATAACCCTGGATACATTTTTAAATTTAAGTTAAAATTTTTTTTAAATCAACAAAAACCGCAGACAATTATAACTTATAAGTACAACATACTTAGTTTGACTAGAGCGTTTTTTGGCACGGAGTGTTCCATGTAATTAAAATTGACTTCCCATGTCCGCAGATGTGATGTTTCATCACAAATTTTATTGCCGCAAATGAACTGACCTTTACCACTGACTAATTCACCTTCAGTTTGCCAACGCATTGCTACCTACATGATAAAAAATATTAGGTTAGCATAAAACAAATGATTTACAATTTCATAATAAGCATCTGATGTACTTTATATTGATGACCAACCTTTTTTTTTTACTACAATAGAATATATTAATCATCTGTAAATGGGTACAATATAATAAGTAAAAGTTATGTTAGATTTTGGATGAGTTTGCTTGAGTGAAGAGGGTGTCATTGAATGACACCCTCTTCAAATTTCAGAACTCATTATGTAAGTATGATTTTTTTTTTGTATTATTTATTTAGGAGGTCTTTTGGCCAGTAGCATTTTACGCCGTGTGAGGGGCTTATCGAAGATTGGAATAAATGGATTCAGGTGGTTTGTTGTTGTAGTGTGGAGTTTATGGTAATATTGAGAGTCTAGTTCAACCTAGTGTTTATATTTATAAATTTTTGTACAAAGTTATTGCAAACGTACATAGGTAAACTTTTGATTGGAAGGATTAAAGAATATTTATGATCGACTAACCTTAGATTTTTTATATAAACTCAAGTCACAAATGCAATATTCTTTGAACAACTTGTCATAATACTTCTTAGCCAATTTCTGCTCCCAAGTTAAAGCTTCGTCTTCTTCTTCCCATACAAACTTATGGTTTTCTTGTATAACATCGAAATCACGTTTCTCACGTCTAAAACAAAATACCTGAGATAATATTAACCATACACCAATTTTAAAACTCAAGGATTAACATACTTTTTAGAATCAATGAATTTGCAGTACTCTAGATACTTGTCCAATAATTCTTTATGCAATTCAAATGGCTGTAGAGCAATCAATTTTTTTTTATCCATATTGTTTTTTATTATTTATACTATTAAGTTCATATTTATAAATAAACAATAATTTTGTGTCACAATGTTCATTTAATTGGTCCGACAGATTTTAGTTGAGTGAAACCGAATAAAACAAATTCCATATTTGATATAATCTAGAAAATACAGTACCTGGAGAAATTACTTTGAATTATAGTTTAAAATATGCATTATATTTACCAAAAGGTGGTTTACACTCGTCGATTTAAAAAAATAAAAATAAATAAATCTTTAATAAATTATATGAAAACTTCGATTAAATTCTTTCACGACAAGCACGGACTAAGGTATAAGTGACGACAAATTAGTAAAACACAAGTTAGATACTAGAATACTATAAATAATAAATATGGAATAGGTATTAAACACGAAAAATATAGTAGTCTAAAATCTGAATGGTTTACCTAATTAAAAATAAAAATACAATATGAAATCTGTTATCACTTATCTATCCAGTGTATTTACCATTTAGTATTATCAGTATTATCGCAGAATAAACAGTTGTTCTGTGATTGCTCTATATTTACTGTTTTTTTTCGCTCAGCTGATCAGAAGTTCATAATCATAAAGACAAAAAAAAATAGAAATATTTTAGATTCAATAAATGTCAATAAAATGTTATTGGTTGGGTCAAAAAGCATGACGGTTTAATACAAGATTCTTGATATGTTGTTACAATAGCAGTTGAAAAATATTAAAAATACATAGGCACGATTTTTTTCTTATAAGCTTTTAAAGTTCAAATTCAGACAATATTTATTAAATTGAAAATCGAAAATGATTTTGTAGTTAGAAATGCATACAATTTTTAATTTTTACAGCTAAGGATTGAAAATTTCAAACAAGCTTCTACTTGAGCATTTTTTTCCGTAACTACGAAATCTAAAAAATATGAATACAGTTATTTTTTCCAGACATTTTAAGTACAAATTTGGACAAAATTGCATATGAACACCAAGAATAATGTTTGTCATTCTGTTGTAATTCGGTTCCAAAACAGCCCAATTTTACATGGGTACATTAAACATTTTTCCAACATCACTGATAATTTAAGAATAACATTAATTCAACTTGCCCGCTACCATATTAAAAATAAGTAATAATAACATAAAATATCCTAAACCGACATATCGTCTCCGCTTGGAATCGTTTTTCGTATCCAATGATTTGATATCAATTCAAATTTAAGACCATCCATTACAACGACCTCACAGCCTCTTAAGGTTGCCGCACACTAGATCGGAACGGAACATAACCGTCCGATCGGATCGGAACTAAAAAAATTAATAAAAATAATTTTAAATGAGGTCCCGCAGTCCGCACACTGGATCGGATCGGAACACGACCGAATCGTTTGTCGACAATATTTTGACGGATTCCGAAGCATTCTGATCGCAAACGCATGCGCACTGACACTTTTGTTCATCATCGTTTTGTACTTTGTAGTTGTGAACACAACGACAAGTGACAACTGAAAGTTTATAGCAATAAAATATTTTGTTATAAACATTTTCAATATTTTTTCGATACAAATAACTTTGAGACAAACAATTATGTCAACAAATATGTCGGATGAAAAACTTATACGTGAAGTGCTCAAGTGCAGAAATATTCATATTTATATGACATTGGTCATAAATACTATTACGACTAGTACTACGACTACTATTACGACTCCACCATGAAAGAAAATGCCTGGGAAGAAATTTCAGAGACCCTAAACGAACAAGGTAAATTTTAAAAATTTTAAATTGTGTTAAATATAATATAAGTAATATATTAATATGAAATAAATATGAATACGAACAAATATTTATAGTTAGTGTTTATTTGGACTGTTTGGATTATGTGTTAACTACGAAACACGGTTATCTACTCAAGCTATAAATATAAGGTTTTAGCACGATGTAGAGAAGATAAGGTGACAACACTCCCGTATCTTTCAATGGAACAATATTGACGCAAAAAATCTCGGCAGTTTGGTAGTTCAGAATTTAACACCCGAGTACGCCACCCTTCGCTCGAAGGCCGACTTTTATACAAGTCGTACCTAATGGAGATTTACATTTAAATTTTATTTAAATGTATAAATTGCTGTTCAAATGTCAATAATCCGCGTGTCAACATAATATATTTTGTGTCATATTGTATAGATTATTAAAATATACTAATGTTTTGGAATCATGTAGTATGTACCAATTATTATGTAAAAATTGTAATAATATTATATGTTATGTATTTTATTATGTAGCCATATCGTACAAATTTATTGATTTAAATAAAATGCATATTTATTGTATGATATTTATATGTTTATTTATTCATTGGCATATATATTATATACAAAAATGGAATTAGTAATACCCACAAACAATAAGTATAAGGTACGAGTTTAAAGAGTTAATAAAAGCTCAAATAGACTACCTACAGACCCAAGTACACCAAAATAAAAAAAATCATAATTTATTATATTTATATAGATACCTATATGATATATAATAACAAAAAAAAAATTAAATATTAAGCATGATGTAGAAAAGATATAATATCTACAATAGAGAATAGAATATATTCACAGTTAAAATAATAATATAAACCTAATAATAATTCTTATAAATTGATAATATTCTATTTTTAATTTTCCTAATTGTTTGTACTTACACATGTCTCACTTAATGGTTTGTACTGTTTGTAGATTGTTAAATAATATTTCGTATTTTTAAAAGAACGTAGTTCGGATCATTTAACGTCATTTTTTAAATCAATGGAAGATACAGTTAGAACTTTTTCACCCATGCGACAAATAGCAATAAAATCTAAGATATCGGTATTAGTTACTGAATATGAAATAAAAAATATAACTGAGGTTTATCCACAACACATTTTTTACAGTCAATATTCATATTCGCCTTCCAGTTCTACAAGTTCCAACCAACAGCCAACATTGCCAACTGAAACCACTCTAGGTTAGGATTAGGACACCTAATGTTCAGCAGAGCGACATCCACTTGCCCGCTTTTTTAATTATTGTTCTTTACGCGAACTAAGATGATATTGTATAGTACCTACGTACATCTTAGTTCATAAGTTTTCCTGAAACATGTCGTTGAGTGGGTATATAATATACAGGGATGTAGCCAGAGGGGGGAGGGCATGGGGTCTGACCCCCCTGAAATGTTTAGTAAAATGTATTTTGATACTGAAATTAAAATTCCGCGTACTACGAATAAACAAAATTATAGGGATAATTATTCATATAATTCACCAGAAGAGTATTATAAAATATTTGTATTTTTACCGTGTTTAGAATGTTTAGATGGTTTTATTTGACATATCGAAAATAGGTTTGAACAGAATAATGATATTTTATCGTCAATAGAAATATTGTTACCAAAATTCGCTTTAGAATAAAACGTTATGAAACTAAAAAATCTCACCATTTATTTTGAAGATATAAATTAAAAAAAATAGATATAAATAAAAAAAGATATAAATAAAACTATTGAAAAAAATATAGCGAGTGAATATTTACTTTGGTGTGAAAAGTGGAAAAATAATGAAGAAACCCCTACAACTTTTCAAGGGTTCTTGAACGATTAAACTTTTTACCCAAATATAAACCATTTGTTACGAGTTTTGGCAACCCTCCCAGTATCTACAATTGAAGTTGAATGATCATTTTCAACTTTGAAAAGAGTAAAAACACTACTTCGAAACCAAATTGGAAATTACCGTTTAACAGGGCTGACTCTTTTATCCGTTCATTGGGAAATATCAGTTTCGCCAAATGAAGTGTTGAATATAATGGCAAAATCAAAAAGAAAATTATTATTATAAACTATAACTTAATTATATCTATGTTATATTTATACCTACATTTTTTTTATTTATATATATTTTTTTTTATAATATGTACATATATAGCATTCTGTAGGTCATTATGAATTTAATTTTTGATTGATTAATAAGAGTGGTTAAAATTACTTATTATTTTTTTTTCACTTGACCCCCCCCCCCCTTCCTATACAAAATATATTATAACCCATGTGCGTTTGTTGAACTTTTTTTCCGGATTTCCATATTGCCCTTGTAAATATTTTGGCGCCGACGCACATAATATGGTTATTAATTATTATCATAAGCGACGAGTCCCTTGATGAAACGACCCGTCTGCGCACCATAGGCGCAAATAGGGTGGGGCTTGGGGGGCTAAGCCCCCCCCAATATTTACTCTAATATTAAAATTGAATGTCCCTGTTAATAATCAAATGTTGTTTTCGATTACTAACTATGACTGTAAAAGTGTAGAATATGGTCAATATAATTTTTTTTTTTACATTTTAATTATAGATTAATTGATTTATATGAACCATCGAGAACATAAATATCGCGCGATATTTCGAAAACAGTCATGTGCATCATGACTTTATCGGTCATAGAAGTATTTATTTTTATAAACACTTAATCTAATATTAATTTATAATGTATTTATATTAATAAATTGTGCTAAACAATCTTATTGAATGTCTGAATCTACTTTTTATTTACCGTATACTTTTGAAAATTAATTTGTAAATAATAACTTTTAGGATTTATTCGGTGTTTCCAAAGATTCTTTAAGATCAGAAATGATGGTTATCAAAAATGTCTTGAAAGTTAATGTTGATTTTTAAGTTCTTCAAAATCACTTAAACTCATTGAATAGCAAACAAATCTTTCCAAATTATTATAAATTATTTAATGTAGCAATAACTTTGCCAATCAATTCCGCTACTTGTGAAAGGTCATTTTCCGCAATGAGGAGGTTGAAAACATGGATGCGATCAACTATTCTCTAAGAATGTTTTAGCAGTTTAGGGATAATTAATATTGAAAAAGACATCAATATTGATAGCGTCTCAGTTTTAAATGACTTTGCCAAATCCAACAGAAGAATAAATTTAATATTGTAACCAATTATCTAGTTAATAATAAATATAATATTATGTGCATTAATAAGTAATAATTTTATACTCGTAGCTAATAAAAAAAAAAAATAGTAATATTTTTAATTGGTTTGACGTGTGAAAGGGGAGGGGGATTTTTGTTGAATATATTAAAGGGCTTGAGCCCCCGCCAATGCAATTCCCTATTTGCGCCTATGCTGCGCATGTGTTAGTATTCGGTAACTGAAAAAATTTAAGTGTCAGAGAGAGATGGGTTGCTCCCATTATACATTATTTTCAAAAAGGTCTCATGAAAAATTGGGTACTTAAACATCTTGAGTCGCCATCGTTCAAAGGTTGAGAACTGTTAATGTACCTACACCATTAGTCATCATTTCCGGGGAGTTTATTTATTTGGTCTTTAATTTCTGCAGGCTAATGGGTTTTATAATTGATTGGGAGGGAGCTGTTTAGAAAACTGTCTGCGATTTGAATTAATTTCGGTATCACGGTTAATGGTTATATACTAGAGTTGATCGGTATGAAGAATTTAAAAACAAACATTAAATTCAATGCTTGCACAGAAACCTGACGAAGTTGAACATTAATCGATTTTTACTCAAGGAGACCTACAGGTACGGCCATAGACCTATTAACTAGCCTAGTTAATAGGTCTATGGGTACGACTCTGTTCCCAACATCCGTACCCAGTTTCAGCTAACACTGAGGGGTCTGGTGGTTTCCTCCAGCTAGTATATTACGAGAGAAGTAGGTAGAGCTAAGAAATGAATATTTTTTTACGGATTTAAAATTATGTGATTTATAGAAAATATTTGATACTTTATTTCAGTTTTTGAAACAGTTCAGATTCTAGTTCAAATGAAAATGCAATAACAATTTTTAGATACTGAAATACTACTAAGTAGTAAGCACAGACTATTGTCTCTATTAGCAAAAAGTCTATTGATTATCAAAACTACTATTTAATTAGTTTTATATATATTTAGTTCAAAAACATCTATACATTTTATTTGTTGGTACATATTATTATATTTGTCAATATCATTGGTACAAATACAGAAACATTGGTACTAAAACAAAATGTTATGCTAAGACCAGATAATTCTTAATATAATATTGAACTATCTACTAAAAGTTTAAACTAAGCCAAAATTCTAAACATTTTTTTAAACTATAATATTTAACACTTATAGTTAATATCAAAAAAGTAACCTATATATATTTTATTGTCATTGACGTCAAACATACATAGTTATTTTAACTAAGAAGTCTTGTAATATATATTAGGTATTAAATGCTGAGTACTCTACATTGTTCAAATCATTATTATCACAAGGTTACATTAGAGATGCAAATTAGCTATAGTGCTATAATGTAAATTTTTCTAATATCGTTTGTTTTGTTCTTCAGATTTCAAAACCTTATTTTAGTTAACAATGTTTGCCACTAGGAAATGTATTGTTCAATTTGCATCCCTAAAAAATTTACTTCTTATTAAATAATATTTTATAATAAATCAAACAGGTTAATTATTTAATAGTAGAGTATTATTAACAAAGGTTTAACAAATTGATAGATACAATAGTAATAATTATTATTAATAAAACAATATACCATTATTATTATAATTGTGTAAATATCTATTTATAAATTAAATTAAAAATATTTCTATTCTACAGAAATAAACAATAAAAACAATTTGTTTGTAATGGTTCTCGTTATTTTATTATATTTTTACTTGGCAACATTTAATAAAGTATCGGTAATTGCTTCAGCTACATAATTTATATTATTTGTATTCAGTCCACAAATGTTAATACGTCCTGACCGCAACATGTAAATATGATATTTGCTTCGTAAATATTCTACATGACTAGCTGAAATATTTAAATAAGTTTAAATAGTTTAAGTATAAAAATATTTTAGTAAGTATCTTCTTAAAATTTTACCTGATAATCCTGTATAGGAAAACATCCCAGTTTGATCAGTTATATGATTCCATGTCCCAATAGTACCAAGCTTTTCCAAATTTTCTCGTAAAGCTTTTCTCATAGCTATAATCCTATCTGTCATTAGCTTCAAGGTATCCATCCTAAATATAAGATATATATAAATGAATGTGTAAAATTATAACTGTTAGCAACAAATTAAAAAAATATATTATTTAAAACTCACCATTCATTTTTGAATACATCATTATTTAATATTGTACTGACAGTACGTGCACCATGGTTTGGTGGATTTGAATACATTCCTCTAACAATCATTGTCACCTGAGATTTTACAGCCTTGACATTTTCCACAGAATTCAGTACAAAAGTTAAGTTTCCTGCTCGTTCATCTTTAAAATGCATTAATCAAATTAAATATAACCTAAATCTTACCTTCAAAAGTAAAAAATAATGTATTGATATTATTAACTCACTATAAAGTCCATAGTTTTTGGCAAATGATTGTGAACATAAAAACTCGAATCCTTGACTAAGGAAGTACCGCACAGACCATGCATCTTTCTCTAAATCTCCAGATGCAAATCCTTGGTAGGCATTATCAAAGAACGGTATTAATTTATGTTCCTGAAATACAAATGAACAAATTACATTAGGACTTTAAATATCATAGATGTTTTTTTAGCTAATATATCAGATTTTCTATGTAAACTAATATCAATACTAGCTTTTATAATTTCTGCAATTTTTTTCCATTGATCTTCAGTGGGATCTAAGCCAGTTGGATTATGAGCACATCCATGTAATATAATAACCGCATTTTCAGGTGCATTTGATAAATCTTCACAAAATCCTTCAAAATCGAGAGATCTTGTTTCTTCGTTCCAATAGCGATAAGTTTTGGCATCTTGAAATCCACTAGTCATGAAAATCAAATGATGATTTTCTAAATGAATAAATATATTAAATCAATTAAACTATTTGAAGTGTTTTAATATATTATAGATGTTTTTATATACATATTTTTTATACAATATTTTATAATATACTCTTAAACTTAAAAGCATGCATGACCTCTGTACTCACTATTCAGATAAAATGCTCATATGTTATATATAAACATAAAATATTTAAAGAACAATATTCCATATCATAATTTAAATATTTATCTATTTATAAAAACAAATTTTCTTTGTATATATTTAGATCATTGTTATGACTTCATGAAGGTAGTCACTTGTTTCAGAAGAGTACTAATGTGTTATTTTTATAATTTATGCTAAAAAATAATTTTGTGACTATTTTACACAATACAATCTAAATAGAATATTTGTATGTTACAATTATATAAACAAATCAATATGATTATAGTATTACACATAATACATAGGTTTTTATGTGATAGTTTTACTACCATAAATTCCATAATTAAACCGCACCATCATCATATTTACTCTTTATATATTATAATTGTATACTTAGTCTATCATAGAATAAAGATTATGGTATCACAATTTGTATTAATATTTACGAACTTCCTCTTTCAAAAGTATACAGTATTAAATAAAAGATTACAGTCGCAACTATATTATCATAGAACAAATTATGTTAAAAAAATGATATCCTAGTAAAATATTAATACATTCTTGTAGTATTTAACTATACAATAGGTGACAATTGTTATTTAAAGTAAAAAGCCCAAGTTTTTAATTATCACTCGAAAATATGGCTTAAACTATATATCATCATTTTAAGACTAGATTATAAGTGTTTGATATTGAGCCAGGATATTAATTTATAAAGAAATAACCAATATAGGATTAACCACTTAACTACATGCATTTTAGCCTTCAAAAAAATAATTGATGGTACACAGCTAGAATTCTCAACAATCGTTTAGGTATAATTATATATATGAAAAATAAATGTATAAACGAGTGAATGACCTCTCAAAGGTGGATAAGAATTTTTAAGATAATGTTATGAAATCTATAATTTATGCAAAATACTTAAGATATTGATTTATTGGTAAATGATCATTTTTGTCTTGTATTTATTTGCTAAATATAGGTAATATTAAATACATTTCAAATATTCTTATTTATTTGATTAGTATGTTGGTAATAAATAACCATAAATGTATATTAACTATAATTAATATTACTTAGCAGTTGAAATTCATAGGATGAGCAATCTGATCTATGAAAAGGCGAGGCACAGTAGGTATGATATACTGTATGATTATTTAATACAGCATGGTTTGTTCTTAACCTTTTTTTTTGTTTTCAGCAACCTCGGGTGTTTTATAAGAATTTTGGAGGGCTATATACTTTGTTTTTATGCTTCAAATTTCCAATAATTAAGTGACACATTGCATATCTAAGACTAAATTGTGACAAGTCCGTGACACACTTGTTGAGAACCTCTGATTTAATAGACTGTAGTGAATGATTTGAGAAAAAGTAGATTATTGAATAACCCAGAGGATAATACTCCATATAATCAAAGTTTGAGAGTTGATACATTTGTGTGTTTTTTGTATGGTCTTAATAGTAACTAAATTCTGTTTATGGAGAATTTCGGTGGCAACTAGAATTTATTAAAAACAATGATATCCCCACCAGCTAGTACACATTTAAAATAGAATACCACACCCACCAGCTACAGAAGCAGATCTTTCTCGTATTGAACTGACTACTGAGTATAGATAAGCTATAAATCTGAACCACACCTTAACTGAACTTTTTTTAAACTCTATATACAAACAATACATCATAATTCATAATATTATTTTGAATTACAACAAACATAAATTCAAATCACCCAATACAATCAAAAAAGCATGGCTAAAATTTATTTTTCTAAAGTTTTATGTCAAATTACTTTTATGTTCTCAATAAGTATTTACAATTAAAACACCAAATTAATGAATTTTATGTACAATCTGGCTTTTGTATTTCATATTACATTCAACAAAGCTAAAACAATAGTATTTGAATAATTACCCCAAGTTGGTATAGAATAATAGAATGTGGTACATTTCAAATGTTTGACTAAGAATTCTGCACCCACTCTAAGTGCTCCAGAACCACTGATTGATTGAACACCAAATATCTAAAGTAATAACGTAATAAAATATTAGTTACAATATTTTTATTCAATATAAAATTCACTATTGCAGGAAAACAAGGTAATATCATGCAACTGTAACTCATTTACCTTATTTTATTCTTTATTAACAAAACAAATTTGCAATAAAGTAAACACAATTTTTCAAGTATTTAAGAACCGAAGCTTGTAATGTATAGATATTATGACAACCATAGAAATAATTGTGTAACATAATTAAGTTTGTTTTAAAAAGTTATTACTAATTAGTAATCTGCAATACCGCTTATGGTAAAAAGTAAATAAGTGGTATTGTAGTTTGTAAACAAATGCTTAAGATATGCTTTACACCAATTTACATTAATTACTGTTAATATGTTACGTTAAGTTAAAAGCAATATGATATTGTATGACAAAATTATTATGGTTCAGGCCAATTATATCCATTCCATTCAACATACTGTTAGGAACATTTTAGACTAAAATAGAATAACAATTATTATATGAAAACATTCAGAAGAAATAAAACTGTTTTAGTTTGAAGGTTTCGTTACAACATGACTACATGAGCATCACTAGGTTAGTCACTTTTTCTTCAAATTTAAAATTAAAAACTTATTTATGTTGTAAAATTTGTTAATCAAAACCCTATACTCCATTACCTCTCCCGCCTAATTTTTTTGTTGGCAATAGCCTTATTTGTGAGGACTTGAATCTTTTGAGTATATTATTATACTTTACATTCACACGAAATTTTAAAATGCACAGTGTTCGGTAAAAATTAGTTCAACCTACTTTAATGTATAACTAATAGTAACATAAATTATCATATTACAGTAGCAATATAAATACTATAAAATATACTTAGTAATATAATATACTGACAAACAGTATTCACTCAGAATCATTTTTTTATGCAACAATTTATCATTGAATTCAAATTTCACACATACATTACAGGGACTCAATGATGATTACATAGTGACACTAGACGCTTACTGAACAACAGATCAGTTGTCTACTTTCCCCCTTTTTTGATTTTGCAGTTACGTATATATTTTTTCCTAAATTAATAATTATACATATTTTTTCACTTTGGTAATTGTACTAATTATATATTTTTATATTTAAAATATTATAATATTATATTATATTAAAATGGATATAATCTGGGAAGAAAATGTCCCAAGACTTGGGGACAAAAACATGTCCTACATTCAAATCAAATATTCTAAGTTATAAATTAAAATAAGAAACCAGTTGTCTTATTAGTTGTTGTAAATGTTTTATGGAGACTAAGACAGTTCATTTTAATTGAATTAAAATAATTTAGATGTGTGTATGTTCTAAACGATTAGAAATATTTAAACTTAAGTTTTTTTTTGGTTTTTAGTTTCATTGCGAGTATACATCGTTCTATAAAATATATTATTTAATTTTTTGGTATGGCTTTTGAATGAAAATGTAAATAGTAATGTTTAATTTTTTTTGTTTTAAATCATAATTTTCATATGACCTATACATACACCATTTTTACTTAATTTAATAATTTAAATTTATGTTTTTATCAATATTATTATAATATTTTCATTGTTTTCTAAAAGCATTACAACTTGAACATGAGATCATCATTAATTTATCTATAATATTATAGATGTTTTCTAAAATAAAGTAGGTAGTATAAAATAAATTATTACAGTTCCTTCTTCTTGTCGCTGAGTGATATCGCCCAATAGTAGTTGCGATGCAGCTTTAGTAAAAGATTCTAAGCCCAATATGGGTAAATACTCGTGATTCAATGTACCATCAAGTACCACACTCTCAGCTTTTTTCACAACAGGAATATAATAAGGTTTGCCTTCATCTGTCCTATATGCTAAAAATCGATAGAAATAAAAAATAGTAGACACAAATTGGTAGCAGTAGCAGATGGAAATCAATATAAAAATTTAAAAAAATGTACATACCCCCAATGGTCAAATTTACTTTTGACGGATCATTGTCTTCATTGAAGACTTTCACTAGATGGAACACTTCGATGGGCGGTGCTTCCTCGACATTGCTGAAGATACTCATAATGGGGATGGCAATTTGCTTTAATATGACGGTTTATAAAAAATAATAGTAACGTCTGTAATGAAACAGATTAACGAAGGTAACTAAATAAGTTATACTGTGTTGACGATCAGCAGACGAGTGAGGAACTGAGGAATAAAATAATTACACTCTTACACAATCAACTCTCTATAACAAACAGCATAATTAATATTTAATAACTTGGATAAAAAACGAATAACCTAAGTATTAAAATTGTACCTTATTAAGTATCATCCGCCGACAGTAGTGTCAACTCGGCCACTCAGCGGTCGGCACTGTTAAGATAAATTATTAGATAATAGGTACCTATAATAATATTGTTATCAACACTGTGTCGATTATTATGTGCGCACTCCGTGAATGACCTCTGATGGTGACGGGGAGGACGTAACATCAGCTGCTGTGACCCATCACTTCAGACGTTCAGACTTATGCCCATGGATAATAGTAGATAATATGGAAAAAAACATATGTATATATATATATATAAATAAATAAATAAATAATTATCAAGCTAGCAGAAAGTGCTGTCAATGGGTGGCTTCTTTCAACAAAACCTCATGTTATGTCAACCTTTATCACATTTTCTCATTGTGTCTACTGTCTAGAATAGTAGGTAGTATGGATACAGATTGTTAATTACTTTTGAAGATAAACAATAATAAAAAAAAAATTTTTTAGGTAGGTATAGGTCTTCATTATCTATGCTTATGCCTTTAGTTTAAATCAACTACCTATTATGGTAATGGTAAATTAATCACCCACTATAGAGTATAGGTGTACTCTACTCAACAACGTTGTACAAGACATTATTTGCAGACCATATTTTCCCAAGTTAAATTTAACGGTTGGAGGGTGACTCCCTTAAAAAATCAGTTCAGATTTCAGTGAGCGCGAAATTCATCTTAAATTCTTAACCCTCACATGGCCACGCCTTTAGAACACATCCCTTTCTTATCGTTTTGTATATAGATAATATAATATAGGTATTATGGTGGTATTATTATACTACTGCTTACAACGATGGTTTTAAGATTTTAAAAATTTGCACACTCACACACAGGGTTTATCATTAAAATGACCCAGTGATGGCTTAGGCAAGCAATTGGTCAGCAAAATATTTAATAAATTACATACTACGAAACCCCAAAACATACTAAACATTAAAGGTATAGTCCAATAGCCAATAGGGTAAATTACTGTAAATTATTTTTTAAGCTTGCACATAAAACATGTGACTTGCGACGCGCAATATGTCATTGCAGAGAAGCAAGACTGACGACTGGAGAGGAAGAAGCCACCAAAGAGCAAGTTCTCCATGTATCCAAATAGAATAACAAATATTATGACAATATAATAATAATATCTCCTAAAAATCCAAAGCACATAGTTTGGCAGTAGATATTTAGGTGCGGTGAGTGGTGACACCACTGAACAATTATTGTAAATGCGCCCCCTTCCCCCTCAAAAAAAACCAGACTATTTTTTTTAAAGAAAGTGTATTTTTGCGTATACGTAGTAGGCATAGTGGAAAATAGTGTTAGAAATTTAGCCCCTAAAGCCCCTCTCAATTTGTGCCTGTGGTGGTACCTATATACATATACACCGTAAATATCCACATGCGGACATGCCCACCAATACGCCGCTGTCCACTGCCCCAAAGATCCTAACTAACAGTGGCACAAGTATGGCAAGTGGGGTATAAATACCCCAGAACTTTTGAAAAGAGGGCCCCCTCTCCTTAATCCGACTTAGGTGGGTGAGTGTTGGGTGGTACCTTCAAACAGGGTTTACCCCAGTGGTATAATAAAAGTTCGGTGCCACTGCTAACTAATGTAGAAGGTACCTACCTAAAAGTTAATATACACACTTACTGTATTTTAATATATGAATGTCTATGGCTTCATCATAGCCATATGCAGCGGAGTATAAGTACCTATCAGCATTGATTATAAATACTAGTATTTATGATTTATATTCAATGGTGTTTGGTTTGTAGTTTGTAAACGAGAAATCCTCTGAATTGAACAGTCAAAAATCGTAGTCATCGGAATATTATTATTTATTATACACCTAAAATAGCTATATTATTACGTATTTCTAATTTATTAACGTCAAAGAAACGATTATCCAAGTTTTATCAACTTCATGAGTCTAAGACATGTGTTTTTTTTATATATTTTGTTAAGCGCACGTTACAAGCAATGACAGCAATTTACAATAAGACTTAAGTATAAGAGGAGATGAGTAATACGCCATAGTGAAATCAATAAGTAACAATAGGTATACGAGTATATGTATATATGTTGTACTTACACTATGTACCATATTATAAAACCTACCTACTTAGTACATTTTATGAAATGTATTTATGTATAAGTACCTATACTAGTAAGTACTGCTTAGTGCCAGGTACTCATATACCCGTATATCATATGGTATGGAAGTGTTCAATTGTTTGTAAAGTAATGCTGATATATTAACCTCTTAAAGAGTAAAGACGTCAATTGATGTGTTTCGGATTTCAGTTGAATTATTCATAATATTATTCTTAAATTATCAGTTTAAAAAAAATTTAGTTATTAAACGAATGTTTTTTAAAGTTAGTAGTTATCAATTTATTAATTTAATTTAATAATCATGATTAAAGCGATTTACATGACATTAGTATATGTTATTATTACAGATACAGAATTTAGAATTACTTAAACGTAGAGTTCAGTTACAGCATTGTTCTATGGTTACAGCTGTACCCTCAGTATACCTCAATGTAGATATGCAGCTTGTGTAAAAAAATAGCTATGAATATCAATAAATATATTGTGTATTTGTGTTTTATTTATTATAATTTGTTCACAACTTTATGATGTATTGGATTATTCATATTGATTTTTGTATCAATGAACCACAAAATAGAGTAAACATTAAATTAAAATTCAATAATAATATCAAATAACAGCATTGTGCGTAGGTAGGTCAAGCAATATAAAGGTGTCAATATTAGTATAATTTATTAAATGAAAATGAAAATAAACAATTTTGGGGAAAAAATAGCCTTGTATGTCTAATGTCTACTAAATTTTGCTTTTTTTTTCAAATTTTTTTTTTTAATATTTTTTTTTTCAAAATTATTTTTTGCTTTTTATTTACTGCTACTGTAGCAATATATCAAGAGTCTTGTATTAAAATTTATGTTTTTTGACCCAGCCTTCAATACAATTTAATTGACATTTATAGAAAAAAGACTAAACAAAATTAAAATTTGAAAATGCCTGTAAACAGCTCTCAATATGAGTCAAAATATTTTGAAAATTTATTCTAGTGTATGAATCGATAAAATAAACATATGGTGTAAATTTTAAGTATCTATAGTTATTCGTTTTTGAATTACAACAAAATAAGAAAACCGCTGCACTAGAAATCTAGTGAATATCCAATGTTTTAAAAATGTTGTTGTATAAATAACGAAATTATAAAATAACATACGAAGCAGAAATCAATCAACCAGAGTCAGCAAAATTGCTACTACTTAAGGCGACGGGAGCGTGGCTGTTTTTGTTTCAATTATATTGTAGTAGCTAATGAGCAGTATTTTTACGTTTCTTTTTATTTATTTGTTTTGATATACTTTATTATATTTTATTCCTTTTTTTAAAAACCAAGTGTCACTGTTTTTCTTTACTCCTTTTTAATTTTATTTTACTAGTGGATACAGAGACGTTGTGGTGAATAACACTTTTAGGAAAAACAGGTAGTAAGACACTGTAGTACTTACTTTCTCGTCCAGCACTCGTTATCGTGGTCAGCCGAGAAAGAGTAAGACATTGTCTAGGTAAAAGACATCTCACCCTCGAACATCCAGTACTCGTTATCGTTGTCAGTTGTTCGGGAGTAAAGTAACCTTAGAGTTGTATAGTGTAAATCCTGTTAGACTTCTATTTAATTATCCTTTTGCACAGTACTCGTTATCGTGGTCACCAAAAGGAGAACTTAAATAAAACTCATACAGCAGGTGTCGATAATTTACTCGTTTGACGGTTAGAGAATCGGAAACCGTAATATATCTGTTACATACGTCAAGCCTTTGCGTGGCGTATACGACAATGTCAACTTCAAAGACTCATAAAAATTAAATTTGACTTTTCAGGAAAATTTTTTTTTTTTGTTGATAAAGGTGAACAAACTTAGGGATCTTGTATTACATTTTCAAGTTTTTTGAAAGCAAAACATTTTTTATTGACATTAATTTAAAAAAAAAACTAATAACAATCGAAAATTGCATATGCCTATAAAGAGCTCAACACAATCAAAATATTTTGAACATTGTATGGTGTTCAGAAAACGCTAGTAGGAATAAATAGTCAGTGAAAATTGCATGTATCGTCTAGTATCGGTCATTTGTTTTAGCGTTACACTGAAATCCAAAAACGATTTTGTAGAAATCGTTGTTTGTTTTTCCCTACGCTTTTAAAAACTACTGGGAACTTTAAATTTTAATGTCTTGAATGCAACAACTAGATTCACTTTTCCAACAGAAAAGATACTGATTTTATTATTTCAACTACTTATTTTGTAGTGTGTAAACAGACACAAAAAAACACACATTATTGTAAAATCAAAACAAACATCGCCCCGCTTAGAATCTAATTTTTTTTTTTACTTGAAAGTGGAAAACTTTATTAAGATTACATTGAACTCTGATTTTTTAATTAACTTTTAACGACGCCAGAAAAATATATTTCCAAATGTTCAAAAAACTGTGAGATACAGATACAAGTTTATTACAATTTCTAAAGATGTAGTTTTTAATTTTTCAACTAAAAAAAAAAAATTATTATTTACAAACATTGACTATTTCACGATGTTTGAGTTTTGAGATATTTCCTGTGATGCAAGTATGCACTTACAACGCATTTCCTCAAACATCGCCTTAACACTACTATGAAATAATGTATAGTAATTCATTTGATTATTTTTGAATAATAATATAATTATGTTTAATAGTTATTTATATAATTTTCTTGTGTTTAGGTACAATAAAGGTCTGTATTCTGTCGAGGAGCAAATTATAATTATGTTGACTGGTAAATAATTAATGATATCATTATAAATGAAAAAAGCCAATTTATTTTTAATATTTTTTAACTGCTATTGTAACAATATACCAGAAACCTTATTTGTAATTTTCAAATTTTTTGACCCAACTAGGTAATACAGTTTTATTGATATTTATAATTTAAAAAAAAATAAAAAATGTAAAACTGAAAATGTCTGTAAACCCCTCAAAACTAATTGAAACATTTTAAAAATTGTATCAAGTATT